TGGGAGATCAGGCTATCAACTCGCCCTTTTATTACTAAAAACGTAAGTGTCACTTCTAAGACACCGAGGGTAGGACTAGGGCTGCACTGAGGGAAGAGCACTTGTCTAAGACACTGAAGATGACAGGTGCCGCCATCCCAAGTCAGCAAGATGTCTGAATTCATTAGATTCCACGGGAGCGGCTCCCCACCACTGACCAACAAGAGAGGAGAAATTTGGGTGTGACTGGATATGCATCTTGAAGCATTATTTTGATGCCAGAATACAATGGGGCACACACAAAAACAAAGATACATAAAGCATCCCAGTGAAAAACCATCACAAGAAATATTAGCTTATGTCAGGCAAGATCTGTGGGCTCTGGGTGGGAGTAAGAAAGGGGTCTTTCTCAGCCCATAGGATGTCTTAGGGTGGTGTGTGGCGGTGTACTTTTGGATGGCGTGGTGTTGACGGCATAGTAGCGAGCTCCGTTGCCTTCCAAAATATTTTAGCTTGCGAAAAAAAAATTTCATTTCTGGAAAACAGAAACTGGCAGATTGGAGCCCCAACTCGGGTGCATACACGGAGATCCCAGGAATCGTTTCCACACTGGAGAGAGATGTTTGATGGCTGAGCTCATCCTACTAGGAAAGCCAGTCACAAAGCTGCAGAAGCTTAACCCACACAGGGTACACCAGTGTGGCACTTGAGCCAGTGAGCTCCTTCAACCCTCTGGTGAAGCAGGAGCACTTGCCGCCATTACCATCCTGTGTAAGCCATGAGGAGCAGAGAAGGGTGTGGATTCAGAGTTCTGGCCTTGACTTTTAGCACACAGATTCTGTTAGTATCCATCCACTGTCTCCCACAGACAGCTGCCCATTTGGATCTTTACATGCAATGCCTATGGCCCCAGTCAATGCTTATTGCCTTGGCAGAAGCTTGTCAGGGTCATATATACTCCCTGAGGTACACAGTTTTTCAGGAAGAAGCATCCTTCTCATTTGTGGTAGATCCATAGGCATGAGCTTGCTAGGCAGAGAGACAGGGGTTTTAAGGCTGTGTAGAAAGGTGCAGCCTTCTGGATCAAGCATGAAAACTGTTAGAAGGGCATCTAAGAGCATCCAAGACTGCAGCCACTGGCCCTCTGTGGCTGCTGAGTGTGGACAGTTTCAGGTCCCCATTGAAATATTCTGTGAGCATCTACTAAGTACAGACTCAATATGGAAAAACAAAAGAGCCAGGTGGTGGTGGTGCACGCCTTTAATCCCAGTACTCAGGAAGCAGAGGTAGGCAGATCTCTGGCTCGAGGTCAGCCTGGTCTAGAAGAGCTAGTTCCAGGACAAGTTCCAAAGCTACCGAGAAACCCTGTCTCAAAAAAACAGAAAACTAAAACAAAACCAGAATCCAGCATATCAATACAATAGTAAGGTAAACGTCCCCTGAGTGTATTTAGTTTTTTTAATGTGGCTACTGGAAAATTTGAGATTACCTTTGGAGTTTGTGTCACATTTCTATTGGGCAGAACTGGTGCACGTCCTCCCAGAGACCTCTGCTTTGTCCCCTAAGCCTATAGGGTCTTTTTACTCAGATGTTCCCTTCCCTGAAATTCTCTTCAAGGGAGAGGTGTCGAAAGTCACACAGCCCTAGGCAGGCTGGGGAGTTCTTTCCAGGGGACTTCAGCTGATAGCGGGCTGCATTGGAATCTTCCCCCACAAGGGAACAAAGCACAGATCAGGTCAACTCTCTACCTTCTTTCAAGGGCCAAAAAGAGAGGGTCAGGAAACCAAACCATCTACAAAGGAATGTACTCTATGCATGCAAAGCCCACAAATGCAATTGTTTCACTTTAGTTTAATATTTTATTTTATATGTGTGAGTGTTTTGTCTGCATCTAGGTGTGTGCACTGCCTGTGTGCTTAACGGTGCCAGGTCCCCTGGACTGGAGTGACAGTCAGCTGGAAGGCTTCATGCGGGTGCTAGGAGTCAAACCTGGGTCCTCTGCAAGAGCAGCAACCGCTCTCAGCCACTGAACCATCTCTCTCCAGGCCTCCTACACATGTGACTTTTAAAATTTGGGGAGCCTCATAAAAGATACAAAAAAAAGAAATGAAACTAATTTTGATAATATATTTTGACATGCCCCCAAATTCTAGATATTATTATTTCACAGATAAGCAGCATAAAAGCAATTAATGACATATTTTGCACTCTCTTTTAAAAATATTAGATCATCAACCTTAAACATGCATGCGTGCACGCACACACACACACATCACATGGTAGATGGCAGTTGCCACATTGGATCACGAAGGTCCAGAGCATGTAAAAGTCTTTAATGGGAGGACAACAGCATCTGAGATTCATGACTGTGAAGACTGGAATTGATCATCCTGTGCTGACTACAAGGGCCTAGGTCTGCAAAGAGTTTTGATGAGATGGAAGAAAAAGCCTAAATATTTCAATAGGTGAAATTATTCTACAGTCTTAAATAACAGTAACAAGTGGTGTGATAATTTTTTTCTTTCTTTTTGCTTTTTTTATATCATGCATACAGTGTTCTGCCTGCGCATATACCTGCACACCAGAAGAGCGCACCAGATTTTATTATAGATGGTTGTGAGCCACCCTATGGTTGCTGGGAATTGAACTCAGGGCCTCTGAAAAAGCAGTCAGTGCTTTTAACCCCTGAGCCATCTCTCTCCAGCCCCTCTTTTTCTTTCTATTTTTCTGGGTTGTTGAGGCAGAGCCTCTCTGTCCTGGAACTTGCCCTATAGACCAGGCTGACCTCGAACTCACGGAGCTTTGCCTGTCTCTGCCTCTCGAGTGCTGGGATTAAAACCATGAACTACCAATGTCCAGTAATTATAATTTTTCTTAAGATTTATTTTTACTTCTGATTATGTATATGTGGGCTGTTTTGAGTATGGTGTGGGTGTGTGTATGTGAGTGCAGGTACACTTGGAGGCGAGCAGAGGGAGGTAGAGCTCTTAAAACTGGGTTTACAAGTGACTGTGAGCCATACACGCCCCTCCAGGTTGTGTTCTGGGAACAGAATTCAGGTCCTGTGTAAGAGCAGTAGGATGGGCTCTAACTGTGGAGCCACCTCACCAGCTCTCTCTTTTCTTCTCCTTTTCCCATGCTTTACAGATGTGATAGAAAAGAAACCCTAATTTCTAATATTTACTTAGAAAACACAATTTTTAATTCTGAAGTGATTAAAAGCAATGAGCCATGAACTATTTATGGGACCACTCTATGCCTGGCCCCGAGCTTCCCCAGAAAGATGATCACATGCCTCTGGATGCTGAGAAGGAAGGTGTTGATACTGGTTTTTTTTTGTGTGTGTGTGTGTGGGACAGAAGAGATTTTCTGGATACACAGATATTTTTCCTATACCTAAAGTTGGAATGCAGGCGATACATGCCAGTGAGTGCCACAGGCAAATGCTCGCATAAGATCTGTTTGGACGGCTCAGACCACATGTGCTGGCCCAGAGTCATGGGAGTTGTCCTTGTGGGGCAGCAGAGGCAGCTGGGGGAAGTGTTGAGACTCGAAAAACAGGTGACCATGCATTCTTCCAGCATGTGAAAATATGAATCAAATAATTTGCAAAACACCCACAGCTGTTGGCAGGAGGCATAGCACAGGTACTAATTTAGACTCTTAAGACACACTTCCTCTCTCTCTCTCTCTCTCTCTCTCTCTCTCTCTCTCTCACACACACACACACACACACACACACACACACACACACACAGAGCACTTCAACAACAACCAAAGGTCTAAGTAGTCAGCAAAGCTTATGCACAAAGTCATGTCCACAGGGCCTCCCTATCCACTAAGGATAAATCTAAGCAGCAGCTTCTGCAGGACCACAGGTGACACTCACTCACTTGGGGGAGAGCAGGGGGTAAGGTCTGAGTGACGTGGTTCCATCTGTCATCCACCCTCCTAATCTGACGATCGCTGTAGCCTGGCTTCTACTGTGATGAGCTGCTCTTGCTTCATAGATTAAAGCAGTGTTGACTAGTGTTGGCCTCAAAAGGCATCGGCTAGGTTAGTGAGTATCTATGCCAAGGACTGAGGGGACCTGGGTGTGACATCTAGGGGCTATTTGGGGGGTGTGTGTGACAGAGTACTGAAATTGATTATGGCCTTCATCATAGATCTCTAAGCACACTAAGACTCTCTCTCTCTCTCTCTCTCTCTCTCTCTCTGTGTGTGTGTGTGTGTGTGTGTGTGTGTGTGCATGGGCATGTGTATCTAGACTTTAAATGAGTGAATTATATGCTGTGTGAATTGTAGCTTAGTGAAGTTGTTTGGCACGGAAGCAAACACCCCTTTGGGCAACAATGCTGCCCTGTGTCACCGCCCACTACTGAAGTGCACATAGCAGAGAAATGGTATCTGCCCCATCCCCCCACACACACTTGAGGCAGCATCTTAAACGAAGCTCAGACCCAACTCATGATTCTCCTGCCTCAGCTTCCTAAATGGTGGGACTACAGGTGTGTCGCACCAGCCCCGGTTGCCTCTCATGTATAACAGCTCACACACAAACAACTGCTCTCAGCCTGGCATGGTGGTGTATGTCTACAAGTCCAGCACTCAGGCAGTGGAGGCAGAGGATTAGGAATTCAAAAACGTCCTCGACTTCTGACTGGATATGAGGCTAGCATGGGTTACTTGAGACACTCTTAAATAGACAAACACTGCTGTCCTTTGTGAAATCAACAAGGCATCTGAGGAAGGTGCCACAGGCTCCCGAAGCCTGTATGTCACTGACCTTTCTGGTCCTCCTGACTCTCTGGCCTCTGCTGAAAAGGCTTGCGGAGCATATGTCTCAGGAACTGAAGGTAAGGTGGCTGAGCCGGGCCCTGGGCTCTTTCTGAGATGAGGAAAGAAATTGATTGCTAGGATCAGATAGTTGGAGAGCGCTGTCCCCTCCCCAGGTTCTATTTTCAAAAGCACATTTCCCAGTAAATACTAAGTGGGCACCATACCAATATCCCCAGGGAGAAGAGATCTTTAGGCAGCGATAGACTTGGAGCTGCTTGGAATCACATAGGGCCCCTTCACCTAAACAATTCCACGTTTGAAAGCAGCCGTGTCTGCACTCTAGAGAATATGACTGCCTGAAGCCTATCGCCCAATCACACATAGCCAACCAATGCTTCATGCATTTCCAGTGGTTTTAGAAGAATTAAAGCACACAAGAAAAGGAACAAGACATGTCCAACTACATAGATCCCGTGCATCCAACCTCCCCTCTCCTGCCTTTCAGAATCCCAGCACATCCAGACCACTTAACCCTTGAGACAGAGACGAATCTAGTCTCCTGTTAGATTCCCTAACATCAGCATCAGGATCGTATGGGATCTGAACCTATTAGGGCATTGCATCTAAGTACCTGCCAGTGTGGAGTTCTGGAGCTAACAGGTCCAGCTTCATGTCTTTACTTCCATCGGGCTCTGGAGGCGAAGAAACATTCGTCTTCCCATGCCCTACAGGAGCAGGGAGCTGAGGGCCCAGTTGTTCCTGGTCCTGCTGGTGCCTGGCCTGGCTGTCCCCTTGAAGGGTGGCTGTGCCTTCCATTGTCTGAGTCCTGTTGGTACATCCTGGGTCTGAGTAGCTCCCAGGCAGTGCTGACTCACCTGCCACAGCGGGAAGCATCCTTGCAGTACCTGTTTCAAGGAGGTCACCAGACACACATGCCCTCGTCTCAGCTGTGCTTGGTGTGATGTCACCTTCTGCTGCCTCAGCAGCTCCCGCCATTTTGCTAGGCCCCAGAGGAGTATCCAACACTTCTCCGGCCAGGGGTTTGGGGGTATCCTGGTAAGCCAGCACATTTTGCATTTCTGCAGTACTAACAGCAGCTTTGGGGCTTCTTTCACTCCCAGGTGTGGCAGGGATCCACAGCTTACTGTTAGATTCAGGCATAGTCAAAGGACTTCCATGAGGAGAAGAGCCCTCCAGGGCACCAGTAGATCCTTGTAGATTACTTGAACACTCAGTGTGAACAGGGGCCCCAGTACCGTCTCCTCTGTGCTGTCTATTGCTGGCCAGTGCTTTTAAGTTCTCTTTTCCAGAAGGACTGCTGTCCCCTCGAACAGAAGCCTCTTCTGTGTGACTCTGAGGAGCCACAGGGAAGCCAGGATCTCTTTCTGCTGGTACCCCCTGAACAGCTGCAGAAGAGGGAAGGCCCAATGCTGACTCCTGCCTGCTGCTTCCCTGCTGTGAATGAGCCTGAGCTCTCTGGTCAGACTCCCCAGTCCCTTCTAGCCTCTTCCTGGTTACCATCAATGGGTCACAGGTCACTTCCCCCTCAATCCTGGCACCTGGAAGGTTCTTCTCCAAGGCTGTCTTGGCCAGACCCCCCAGCTTCTCGGATGCTGGATCCTGGGGAAGCAGATGAGCAATCTCAGCCTCCACGGTCAACTCTTGCTTCTTCTCCACCTGGAGTCTAGCAGGAGGTACAGGGAGATGGGCAGCAGCCACTCCTTGAGCCCCATCTAGAAGCTTCTCCGGGTTGAGTGATATGCCGGGTCCCTCAACCAGAAAATTCCTTGATGTGCCTGCCTTTTCACCAGGTAAACTCTGGGGCCGATCAGCAGCCAGGGCTCCCAGCACAGACTGCTCAAAGATCTTGGTGATGTGCTCTCTGAAGTCAGGAAGACCCGTAATTATACTGGTCTGTTTGGAGCTCGCAACCTCGCTACCCGATGCACCAACCCTCAGATCTGGGGTAAGTTCTACTGCGCTCTTCCTGTTACTGCCTGTCTCTCCTGCTGCATCCTCACTGGCAGCGGGTGCTGCAACCTCAGGGGGCCTGGCATTTCCCTCTGGAGCTGCTGTCACATGCAACTCTTTTGTCATCTGCTCATCTTTGGCCAGGGATGTCATCCTGTCCAGGTAGGGCATAAGACTCACCGGTCCCTCAGCGGTTCCAGCTTGAGGGCCACCACTACCAGCCCCTGCTGCGGAGATTTCCCCACCTGCAGTTTCTGGTTGCAAGAGTGGAGTGATGGAGACAGCTGATACCTCTCCAGGAGTGTCACTTTCCAAAGCAGGTGGGAGCTCCTTTGTGGGACAGGAATGTTCATGAGGTACTCTGGGGCCTTCATCTCCTGCATCCTCCTTGGCAGTGCCATTGATATGCAGGTAAGGGACGCCAGGCACAGTCTCTTCAGGTGGTCGAGCCGGCAGGAGCCTCTGTGGATCTGAAACAGCGCCGCCGTGTGCCAGAGCGTCCACTGTACTTCCGGGAATCCTATCTGATTCTCCAGCTGGCCCCAAGGAATCCCCACAGCTGGGCTCAAGCTGTGGAAGTTGGCACGGCTCAGTCAGGGTGGAGGTGTAACCTTCTTTCCCAGGCGTGAGGCGCTCATCAGTCTGAAAGAAGCCACCATGCAGAGCTGCGTCTGATCCCTCGGAAGCCTGCTGCATCCCTTCCCCGGCATCAACATTCGCCTCCACAGATCCACCGATACCAGCTTGCTCTGCCCCTCTGGGGAAACCGCCAGGAGGCCCCTGTGCTTCTGCACCTACGGTGGCCAGCTGCTCCATCTCCAGCTTTGGGGCCGACTCCTCCTGACTCTCATCGCGGGCCTCACTCTCTAGGGCATCCTGGGTGGGCGTGACTCTGGTAGGCACCAGGACCAGAGCACAGTGCGCTGTATCCAGGAGAGCTACTGAGTCAGGTGGACAAGGCGGGGCCTCCACTATGTTTCTACTTGCCACCTCTGTCTTACCCAAGCCCTGAGGCAGGGGCAGTCCATCACTCTCTTTAGAAATACCTGAGTCCCCACAACATGCTTCTTCACGCTGGCTGCCTGCTTTCAGAGTATCACCTGGCTCCTGTTGGGACTTGTTCGGCCCCTGCCCAATACAGCAACTCTCTTTTCCACCCAAGCTTCCTGTAAGAGCGGTGTCTTCTGCAGGATGTGGGATCTCCGAGGGCTGACCACCAGTGCCCCCACCCTCTTGCTCATTTTCCCCTAATGCAGGCAGCTTCTGTCCCAGTGGGGTTGGTGGTTCGGACTCCTCTGATGGTGCCTTTCCCAGATCTGTATCCTTGGGTGCTGAACTTGGAGTATTGCAAGGACTGCCTTTGGGGGAACGTTCTAAAGCCTGCTCCTTTCCTTCATGAGTAGGCAAGCTCGCACCTATGCAAGGCTCCCCTTCCATGGGTACTAGAATTGGGGAAGGATTTGTACCCTCATTCTTCAGACCTGGACCACTTGGACAAGCCCCTTGCACGTTTGTAGGTGATTGGGCCTTCTCGCAGAGAATAGCAAAGACAGATGCTTCTGGGTCCAGTTCGGACGACTGGAGTGGGTTCTCCGGAGGCGGTGGGGGGCTGTCCTCTGGGCAGGACAGTTTTCCCTGACAGTCTAGTTCCAAACCAAGCATAGCGAGTCCATGACCCACTACCGAGTTCGTCCCACTGAGGGGAGGTGACACCTCAGTATGGACTTCCTGTTCGGGTTCGACCTTCTCCAGCCTCTGCAAGGGTGAGTGGCTCTTCTTTATTTCCAAAATGTTCTCCGCCTCCCCAGCTTTGGGTACCTCCTCCACTGCTGGAGCAGACAGGAAATCTGATTTCTCAGAGTCTAAAGCAGGATGTGTTGTTCCCAATTCTCCACTGCCCTGAAGCATGCTGGGGCTTTTGGTCTGAGATCCTGAACTTGCCCAGGTGGCTTCTTGGGGAGGAGAGGGCTCATCAGTTCCAGCTGATGCTGAGGACAGGATGGGGTCCTCTTCATGGTGTCTGTGCAGTGGCGTGGATGTGCCAGTTATATGGGATTCAGCACCTACCTGCCTCACTGCCTCTGCTGACCCAGAGAGGGGCCCATCCATGTGGCCAGCAACCACCTGTCTGGGTGGCTGTGTTGAGTCTAAGTCGGGAGAGTCACTGTGTGGCTTTGCAACCTCATCTTTGTCAGACTCCAGATGGAGCTTGCTGTGAATGGCTTGGGACCTCTCTTCCCCATGATTTCCAGACTCCGTACCATCAAGGACGCTGATGGCTTCTTGTCCCTTAGGGTTGTCTCCTGGTGATCTGCTTTCTTCTCTAGCCACAACTCTGGTTTCAGTATTCTCGGGGGCCTTAGGGCCATCACTTGATCCCACTGACTTTCTAGAACTTTCATTTGAAGCCCCAGGGGAGAAGGTTGGCAGCACTAGCCCTTCCAGGACTGTATCATTTTGCCCCTGCAAGAAAGGGGCAAGGGCCCCTCGGAGGCTGCCTTCCGGCTGTTCTTCTGATGTTCTTCCCAGACCTGATGCTGGCTTCAGTTCCATCACCCCCGTATCAACCTGTTCTGCGGCCAGATCTGTAGAAAGTGGCAGCTCAGCCTCAGAATCTGTCTCCTTGGACAAGCTGGGCTCGCCTACGGTGACAGAATTCCAAGCCCCAGGCTGTGCAGCGCGACTGGAGGCTGTATGTGTTTCCTCTGTTCTAGGAAATGGAGGGGCCTTAGCACTCCCAAGCAAGCTACCATCTGGCTGGTTACCTGATGCCACACAGACAACCTCCTGGGGCCCAGGTCCTGATGTCCCTGTCTGTGGTTGGCTTTGAACATCTCTGGTGTCTCCTCGAGTCTCCTTCCAGAGGTCACTGTCTCCTGACGCTGTGGCAAAACCTAGTGGGTCTGAGGGCCGTTCTGCCTGTGGCTGCTGCTTTTCCACCTTCTGCTGGCAGCTTTCCTGGGTGGCAGAGATTGCTCCAACTCCAGGCTTAGCCCCCAAGTTGCTTTTAGAAGGATGGTGGCCTCCGAGAGACTCCAAGTTCTTGACTGAATACGTAGGTAGTACCTCTACTCCCCCTCTTTCTTTATCAGATGATTTTAGTACTGGATCTTGTGGGAACATGGTCTCAAGTTTTGGGGGTGCCTCCTCTGGGACACCCGAGCTCTCCATCCCCAGCCCAGTGGCAGCAGGGGCCTTAGCGGCAGACCCTGGGGGCGAGAAGTCATCTACATCCGCTTTCTCTTGGGACTCAAAACCACCAGGCCAGTCACTCTCTCCACACAGCAGCTCCGTCCTTGGCTCCGGGGGAGGCACTAGGGAAATTCCTGGCAATTGGCCAGTGCCACTGGAGGATGAGTTCTGTCCCTCTCCTTTCGGTTCTGTGTCTTCTTCAGCGCTGGGGGCTGTGGTAACCTTTGTGTGCTGTGTGGAGCCATCCCTTTTAGGAGTAAACGTTGCTAAGGCGTTCCCTTGGATACTAGAGGATGCATCCTTTCTAGGGTTATGGGTAAGAGTACCATCTTCAGGTGCTGCTTCTGAGCTTGCCAAACAACCTTCTGGGGGACACTCGGTGAAGGGCATGGGGGCCGAGGGGCGCGCCTGTTCCCAGGGCAGTGATGAGCTGGGCACTGGAGAACCTTCTGGCCCCCTGGATTCCTGGGGGTGCTTCCCTGGCTCGGTCACCTCTGGGGACACACTATATGGATCCAGGCTGGCAGCACTCTCAGAAGCAGAGCAGGAGCCTTCTAGCCCAGTGCTGCCAACAATGAAAACATGAATCTTTTCATTGGTCCTCACAGATGCCCAAAGCGGAGCCATATACAGGCAGAATGACCCCCAACCTGACCCCCACAGAAAGCTACCAGGAGCCTCCACCAAAAACATACTGACCCCCATGCAAGGAGCACCACAGGGAGCCCCAGCTTCCCCCTCCCATAATCATTATATGTACCCTTGCTTCTTCGAAAGCCAATGCAGGAAGTCTCAGACATCCAGGTGTGGGGCTTTCCGTGTGGGTCAGTAGTGAGCAAGAAATATGGAAACTCATTAAAAATAATAAAGAATGCAGGCAACCCAGGAACCCAGGAAAAGTGTGTGTGTGTGTGTGTGTGTGTGTGTGTGTGTGTGTGTTTGTAGGTGCACACATGTGGAGGCCAGAGAACAACCTTGAGAGTCGATCCAGAATCTTTTGACAGTTTTTCTGCAGCGTACACCAGGAGGAATCTCCTGTCTTTGTTTCCCACCTTCTGTTTTAGCATGGACTTACGGATGTGTGGACTACATCTCTGGCTTTTGTAGGGGTTTGGGGGTTTGAACTCAGGTCCTCATGCTCGCTCAGCAAGTGCTTTTATCTGCTGAACCATCTCTCTAGCTCCAATGTCTCATTTTTCTGAGACAGAATATCACAGGCCTGGAGCTTGCTTAGCAGGCTAAGCTGGCTGGCCATGGAGCCCCAGGGATATGTCTCTCTCCGGAAGCCCATTACTTGGATTATAAGCATACTCCATAATCCTGCCTTTTTAAAATGTGGATTCTGGGAATTTAATTCAGGCCCTCATTCTTGACAGACAAACACTTTTCTCAGTTTCCCAGGGAGCCTTTGAATCAATCAATCAATCAATCAATCAATCAAAATATACAGTAGGGTTGGGCGGTGGTGGCACACGCCTTTAATCCCAGCACTCAGGAGGCAGAGGCAGGCAGATCTCTGAGTTCGAGGCCAGCCTGGTTTATAAGAGCTAGTTCCAGGACAGGTCCAGGACAGGTTTCAAAACTACAGAGCAACCCTGTCTTGAGAAACCAAAATCCAAACCATCACCCCCTCAAAATGTAGAGTACAGTAGGGCAGGGTGTACAAGTTCTGGATAATTACAAGGTGGTCTCAAGCATTCCTTGGATCATTTTATATTTGGGGAAAGGGCATAAATTAGAAAAGCTGTGATTTTGAAATTGAGGGCTATTCTTTTTTGTTTGGTTGGTTTTTGAGACAGGGTCTTAATATGTAGCTCTGGCTGTCCTGGAACTCACTCTGTAGACCAGGCTGGCCTTGAACTCAGAGAACCACCTGCCTCTGACTCCCGAGTGTTGGGATTAAAGGCGTGTGTCACTGTCCCCTTGAATATATTCTTGAAGATAGCTGATTCTTCAGTGTATGGTGGGACAGCGAGAGGAATAATCCAAGTCACTTGTCGTTTAAATGGAATTTCTCCACTGACCAGCAGATATCCCCCGAGAGCTGAAATCCCTTCATACCTATGTTTGTCCTGACTTGAATATGCTTACCTAGACAATGTATGACTCACTCAGAGAACTGGGAGGACCTTGGCTCAGAGTTAGAGCACTTACCAACCCTCCTGCTCTTCTAACACAGACCACTAATGCTATATTTGAATACGTTGCTCAGTTCTCTACTGTTTTAAGTGCATTTTTGTTTTATTTTATTTTTATGATTTTGAGGCAGGGTCTCAAGTAGTCTAGCTGGGTTGGAACTTGCTACCTTAAGGCTGACTTTAAATTTCTGATCTTCCTGCCTCCACTTCCCAAATACTGGGATTGCAGGTGTGCACCACCACGCGCAGCTGCCTTTTAATTTTATAACCCAAGTATGATGGACACAAAACCGTGAAAACATGCTTATGTGCTTTCTGCTTGCAGTAGTCCAGTCACCCCCTTTCTGGTTTCCTGTGCTGCGCTGTAGGATGTGGGCTTTGTTATTTATATAGCTGCGATTCTATGTACTTGCCATGACTCTATATTTTCTAGTATCAAGAGAAGTTATGGCGTAAGTCAAAGTTAACAGAAATACAATTTTTCTAAAGCTTTAAATTTTTATTGTAAATGTTTTATTTTCTTTTTAGTTAGGTGTATATGTATGTAGTGCTCATGGAGGCTGAAAGAAGTTGCTGGATGTTCTGAGCTGGAGCGGCAGGTGGTTGTGAGCCACCGGACATGGTATAGGGAACCAAATTCAGGTCCTCTGCAAAAGCTGCGTGCACATTTGATTGCTGAGCTATCTCTCCAGCTCCATCTAGGACTTTCAAAAGTCATTTTCTTTTAAGATATTTTATGACAAAAATAGCAAAGGAAGCTTCTAGAACCGTTGATAACTGTTACATACACACATCTATAGACCCACTGTATTCAGAGGATGGTTCTAGTCTCCAAACCCACCAAAAAATCTCCCACACTTGCTTTCATACTTGCAGGAAGCCTATGATGGAAAGAGAAGTGGAGTGTATTTCCATTAAATGTGATGAGATCAGAAATGGGGCTCAGTGGGGAGCTTGTTTACTAAGTAAGCCTAAGGACCCAAGTCTGCATCCCCAGCATCCACATGGAGCCAGGTGTTGTGGTGCAACCCCAACACTGGAAGAGGGGTGAGAATCATGTAGATCTCAGGGGCTCACTGGCTGACCAGTCTAGTCAAAACAGCCATTCCAAGTCCAATGAGAGACCTGGTCCCCCAAAACAAGGTGGGCCCTAACTGGTCTTCATACACATCATCATCTGGAAGAAAGCCAGGCATGCAAGTTTTGTAATGATTTGGAGTCTTAATTTTGTTTTTATTGTATCTGATAAGATAGATAGTTATCTAATTGTTCTTCAATTATGTTATTTTAATAAAATAAATTAAATGAAATGAGGTGGAAAGCAATAAAAAAGACTCTCAATGCCAACATCTACCCTCCACATTTATACAGGTAAACATACACACAGACATATGCACACACGTGCATGTGCACATACAACAAATCCACTACTCACCAGCTCCCCCCATTTATAAATACATGCTCTAGACTGATCCATATGTCTCCCCATATCTGCATTGAAGCCCTAGGCTCCAGAATAACTCTTTGGAGATTAGGAAGAAAAGTTAAATAAGATCATGGGGTGGGTGCCTAATCTAGGAGGACTGGCGTCCATATGCAGAAAGACAGACAGCAGGGGTACATGTGCAGAGGAGGGTCATATGAGGACACAGTGAGCAGATGACTTCTGCAAGTCAGGAAGAGAGGCCTCCCCAGAGGCCAGCCCTAAGGCACCTTGCCCTGGACTTTCAGCAGCCAGCATTGTGAGAAAAACATGTCTGTCATTTAAACTGGCAGCCTGTGATGGTGTATGATGGCAACCCAAGCATGAATAAAACAAGTATACGGTTTTATTGTATATATAAATTGTATGTATGGGCATCTATTGTATGTATGCGCATCTATTGTACGTATGGGCATCTATTGTATATATGGGCATCTATTGTATGTATGGGCATCCATTGCATGTATGAGCATCTATTGTATGTACAGGTATCTATTGTATGTACGGGCATCTATTGTACATATGGGTATCTATTGTATTATGAGCATCTATTGTACGTATGGGCATCTATTGTATGAACGGGCATCTATCGTCCTTTCTTTCCGATGTTTTTGAGATTTCAGTCTTTCCCACCTAACAAGCTGAGAAATGAAAATGGATGCAGTGGTGTCAGAGTTTGGCATAGGCCATCTCATTAAACCCAGGAGACAGTCGATGTGATGGGTGTGACCGCTGCTATTTGCAGATGAGAACACAGAACAGGGAGGCTGAGCTCGGATCTTGGTTGGACATCTTCCTACTCTTTCGGCACACTGCCTGGAAGAACAAAACCTCCCAGGGAGAGAGGAGGCTCTGTCCTCCACCCACTGCAGCCTCTCTGCCAAGCCAGTCACCTCTGCGTGGGACATCATCTAAAACCTTTAGGGAGGTATATGCATCCCATTGCCATGGCAGCTATCTTTGCCTAAATGCCCGTTCCTGCACGTAAGAGGAGGGATGGGTGCCTGAGGACCCACGAGGGAGCCGGCTACAGTTTCAAGAAACTCAGCATTTTCTCACTCAAAAGCAATGCGGGCAAAGGCAGAGTAGAGAAAAATGAAGGCAAGAGAGATATATACATCTCTCCAGTGTCCATTCATGTGGTCACTCAGACGGCCATGGAGACACCCAGCCCAGCCCTGGCATGTATGTGCAAAACTGCCTAGAATTTGAGCAAAGCATGTGCACTTGGACTTCCAGAAAGAACCCAGCAGGGATCCAGAACTGTGATGATCTATCAGCCAGATGGCCTGTTCCCAGCACTGCTGTGACCCCATCTGGAGGCTCTTCCTTTCAGCAAGGACTTTATATATTGGTGTGTTCCATCTGTGAACGGGGTCAAAAAAGTTTCGCAGAGGATGAGATTAACATAGCGTTCCTGTATATGTCGCCTGGCTTGAGAACTGCAGGAGCAGCCCCTTCGTGTCCCCTCTAACCCACTGGAAATGACACAGACAAAGCCATTTCCGCGGCTGCCTTCCAACAGGAATGGCCAGTGAAGCATAGCCCATGGCTTCCCTTAGGCTGAAGTTATTGTTATCCGAGACAGACTACTAAATGTACCATTATGACACCCTGTAAACTTACTCATTCTTATCGGAGAGCAACTAAGAATGAATCTTCCACAGAGTGTGGGTCACACAGCAACTCCCTCTGAATACGAGACCAGAGGTTGGTCTCTTCTGCAGAAGGCCAGAACCAGGGATCTCTTTGATTACCCATCAGAAGCAATTCTTAACGTCAGATGAAAGGCAATCACCAGAAGCAGATTTGCCTAAGGGCCGGAGAAATTCTAAGAACTGGTCTGCTGAGGACTCTACGTTAATTAAGCTGACATAAGTCCTTTTATGCCTCAAGATTGAGTAGAGATGTGCAGGACACAGCTGTACTCACAATCAGTTGGGG